CCACCCAGACACGAGCACTAGAAGCACTATTTTGGTGAGTGTTTTCAAATACCGAATTGAACTTGATACTTGTACTTGATACGTGACCAATATGATTACATGCCACATGCGTGAATTGTTAGGGCAGGTGTGTACTTTATCACACTAGCCGTTCGAGTGGTGACTTGCTTGAAATGTTTTCATGAATACTTGCTTGCATGTGTTAATCACTAGGCAGGGGAGTGTACTACACCTTAAGGGTGGAAAGGACTCTTACCCTGACCTGGTAATCTCTTGTTGGACGCAACGTCGTTGGATGAATTCCTTGACTAGTCCCTAATCTCTTGTTGGACGCAACGTCGTTGGATGAATTCCTCGACCAGTCCCTAATCTCTTGTTGGACGCAACGTCGTTGGAGGAATTCCTCGACCAGTCCCAGGTATACTCAAGTATTACCACCCGTGTTTCATGTGGCGTGCGGGCCCGGAGAAGGGGGTTGATTGGTGGACGGAGACTGGCGAGAAGTGGAGCTTACTTTTGGACTAGTTATTACTTGAAAGTTGACGGAGTGTCAACTACTATTAGATCAAGCTGGGATGGAGCCGAGACATGAGCAACTGTATCCTTACTTGTGAACATGATCCATACATTTCTTGACTACTTGAAGTATTATCTCCTTACTTGAACTTGTTTGCTCGCTATTTCACTATTACATTGTTGTTATCTTGTTGCTGGACAATTTGATATCTGGAACATCACTGAACTTTGGCTCACCCCGTTAGTTTTGTTTTCCTTACAGGGGTACGAGTGACGCGTAAGACTTGTAAAAGACTAGCGTAGCCTTTTGTTTTGACTTTTGACTTTTTGGTCTTGTACTCGCGCTATTCCTCGAATGGAACATGTTGTACTTGGATTGTATACGTTTTGAACTAGTTTTGTGTATTGAGACTTTGTATCTTGATTTGTATCAATGTAAATTATAAGCTTGAACTGTGGATGTTATTTATGGTTCCTGGATGTATGTACGTGATTCGCGTGAGCTTGTGAATGAGTCCTGGCGAGAGCTGGGCAGGCGGTCCGCCGAACCCTTTGGTACGCCTTAGGGGGAGGTGGGGTCGTCACAAAGTCGACGGTGCCACCACTTCCTTAGTCCACTTGCTAGTCCAATCTTCAAGATGAAAACATCCTTCGAGGGGTATGAAGGATTCAGCGAGTGGGCCGATTGCTGGTTTGTAAACGTGTAGTGACAAGCTCTTTGATTGAGTTCCTCCCCGTTCATCCGTCAGCGAAATATGTGGCAGTGGCACGGCGTAGTCCTTAATTTGCATGATTGTTGGAATTTTGTAAAAGAAATTATTTGAGGATGCAGGAGATTCGTGCAAGAAGCTTGGTAATTAAATTACCTAATTGGTTGCCTCTTCTCAAATCCCCGGAATCGTTCGAACCCCTCTTCAAGCGCAGCTTCAGTTGTCTACAAAGAGACAAGTTGACAAAATTTAGATCGAAATCATGTATAGTAGGAATATTTGGGGGGCAAAAAAAAAAAACCTTAAGGTCAGAATTCTAGCAAAATGAAGGGAAATTTTTGCTCAAATATCATATTTGGTATTGTCCTAATAGATGAGCAAAAGCAAAAACAAAAAACAAAAAAACAAAAAAACAAAAACAAAAACACAAAAACACAAAAAAACACAAAAAAACAAAACAAAAAACAAAAAACAAAAAACAAAAAAAAACAAACAAGAACAAAAAAAAACAAAAAAAAGGTACGAAAATTGAGATTAAATTTTCGGCCCTAAGGAATATCTCAAATATCATGCTTGGCATCATTTTAGTAGATCAATCAAAGGGCCAAGTTGCCTTGTAGTATGTTGAGGATACAAGTCAAAGGCACACGTTGAATAGAGAAATAAAATTCCAAGTGCAGATCATGTTCAAGGCATCTGACGATGAAACACGCGAGAGCCTTGACCGAAACTCACAACTTAATGTTGCGGGTAAAACAAAAAATCCTGAAGTACCTGACGAACGGAAAGAAAGTGCTTATTGGAGTATAACCAGCGGATGATGGTTGTTCCTTGCAACAGCGGCCGCGTGATGATATAGCTGGAAAGAAAAAAAAAAGGGACTTGTTCGAAAGTCGTGGCCTAGACGTGATTATTTATAGGAGAGGGTTAGTGTGAATCTGAGCCGAGAAGGGAGTTTTCTTTTACACGAATCTGTGAGAAAGTCGAGTCCTTTTCGGAATCAACTTTATTGACTTGAAGCCAATTTGTCAGAAGACCTCGCGGATTGCACCGGCCAAACAATCTGCTATGGGAAAGAATTCCAATTCGGTTCAGGGAGTGAGCACTCACATCTAGTATAAGGAAGGACCCGTGGGCCACGGGAGAATCGTATTGGGAATTGGAGTCATTGCATGCAGCAGGGTAGCTACTCCATTGGACTTGTGATATAGCCATGGCATAGACATTGCAGGGAAACATTTTTGGTCTTGGAAATTTGAAGCGTTGGCCCCACCAGATGATGTATACAGCCGTGGAACTTAAAATGCCTTGCATTGACCATCTTATGATTGATTCAAAAGTCATGGCATTACAAAGCCTTGAGTAAATCCATCCGTGGGCTTTATTCCAACAGTAGACACAAGGTATGAATTAATCCGGTCTCGAGATTAATTGGTGGTATTTCATATTGGAAATTAGTTGAAAATTGAGGTCATTAGAGGATACATTGGTGGTATTTCACGTGAAGTTTGGGGCCACTAAGTCATTGGACTTTACTTGAAGATTACTAAGCCACTAAATCTCCAAGTTTAGTCTATTTATGGACTCATTTGAAAATTAATTCCGACCATGCTCTCAAAAAAAAAATGTCGAAACTTGCCGTTCAAATCTTGCTTCGATCTTCGGCATTCGCGAACAAGTTTCGATGGGGCATTTGTAGACAATGGAATTTTAATTAATTCTTAAAATTATCATTGGCCTATAAATTATTTTTTGTGGCTTATTTCTATCCAATCGGGTATTGCCATATGTCATGTACACTCGAAAAATTGGTCATTAAATGGCCAATTATATTTTGCCACGTGTCAAGGTGAGGTGTTCCAAATTAATTCAAATTGCAGGGGTATCTCCACCAACCAAATCACATCATATCACATGTTTATAGGATAAATATCTAAATATTTATTTCTTATTAAAGGGATAATATTTAGAGTTGTTTAATCCAAGTATATTTCTTATATACTGCAATGGCCTGGCCAGTCAAACGGCGCCACGTCACGTGTCCCCACAAGTTTGGCCAATCGAGGAATTACTTATCTCTTTATTAATAAATATAAAATGAAAAGATAATATTTGGCTAGCACAGTCCTAATATGACTGCACGTATTGCAAGATAAGTGAAGTGGTACACAGGTCTCCAACCTCTACCCCTTGCTACAACTATAAATAGAGGTTTTTCAACCAAATTAGACACACACAGATACACAGAGTGACTTCAAGAGGCACCTCATACACTCAAGTATTGAAGTTTCAAGTTACGAAGGGTTGGATCTTCAAGCTCTCCAAGTCTTTCGCATATCAAGGCTTGAGCCTCCAAATATTCTCAAATTCTTCAAATCTTCCATATCAAGATTTGAAGGAGTCAGTGGTGGATCCAAGAACAAGCTACAAAGCCCTTGGATTGGTGTTCGAGGAGAAGAATCGAAGGAAACTCTCCATAAGTTCGAGAAACTTCCAGAGATTGTACCCCCATATTTTCTAAATTTATATATCACATATTTGTCGTGTATTTCTTTTTCTTGTCGTTTTGCAGACTTGAAAATTTTATCGCGTACAATAGCAATAACCACCTAATCGAGATGTCTTCAATGTGAGAACAGTTTGGTGTGTTATTTCGTGAAAAAGAACATTGGTTTTGCCTTCAGTTGGAGCTTAGAATTATCTTAACTCGGAATCTAAGCGTCAGCTGAGAATGGCCTCAGAATTTAGGCTTCTTGTGCATGTTGGAGGAGATTGATCCCCTTATTTTGTCCTATCGAAAGCACTTACTGCATTGATTGAATTATAAGCTTTAGTTTGATTTCAGCCTTAGCTTTGTGTGTCCCAATAATCTTGTTCCCATGAAAGATTGAGGCAATAATAATAAGTCTAAAGTGTTTTTGTTTAGATGTACGAGCTCTAAACTGGCTTCATTTCCTTTTCTCCCTTTTTGTGTGTGTTTGTGAGAATGTGTTCTTGTCTTATAAATTTGGGAGGAAAAGATATGTTCTGGAAACCATGTTCATGTATTTCGTTCCTGAATTTTGTATTTATTCTTTGATATTTTAGTGTTTCTTTTTAGTTTTTTCTGATCCTGCAATCGGTTTCTGATGTACAAAAGTAAAAGGAGAAGAAGAAACCAGAAAGAAACGTTCCATCAATTGGCAAATTAGAAGTTGCAAATTGAGATCAGGTAAATGCCGAGTAGAAGATGATAGAGCACTATTTCTGGAAAAAAACACACTGAGAGGAACTTAGAGTAGAGTATGGTTAACTGCTGACATCATTCTGATGGTAGGCTAGCAACTGGATGTTGTTGTTTCGTCATCGATATTACAGAATTGCATGAGGTGAATGGGGAAAGTGGTTTACATATGGTCCCAATGAATTATTTTTAACCTTTTGGGGTTAGAATAAGCTCAATTAGTTAGATTCTTTAAAAACAAAAACCTGGCCAAGCATTTCACATCATAGGCAGGTTTGGGCAACTAAATGGATTTGGACTGAGATTGTCAGCTATGCCTCCAGCTCAAAACCAAAATGAAAGACTTTTGTACACATAAAACTGTAGATCCTTCTATGTCTTGTTGAATATGTGCTATAGGTTCATTAACTCTTTTATTAGTGTTAAACAGGTGTTATGGCAGAAATGCTTTTGTGATGTAGTGCATAAATTGAGATATCTACATGTGTGCTTGCCTGTACCAGAAAATTGTGGATACATGTGCATGTGAAGGGAAGGAAGCAGTAGTATGGTTGTTAAGTCTACTCTTTTTACTCCTGAAACAATACTGAGCATGTAAATTTGGTAGACGCTTTAGGTTAAGGCGCATTTATAGTTAGGCAGTCTTGGAAATTAAAGCTCCTAATCTAATTTCATTGGGGAAACCTGAGGGAATTGTGTAGTGTTTAAGTGAGCCAATCTGAGAGTTAACTATGGATTGTACCAGATTTACAGTAGAGCATCGAGGATTGCTAAATAATGAATATTTTAGCAATGATTGGACAAAATCATAGTGCAATCGTCAAACAAGGTCCACGTAGCTGTCACTGTATTTTCAATGTAATGCAGCTCCTGACAATGCTTACTGGCAGGATTGGATCTCTTTTCACAAACAGCAAGTGGATGTGGGGATGCCTCTTTGGTAGCAAGGTTTATCAATAGAGTTTTACAGCTTTCACCATGTTTTCTGTTTACTTTCTCCAGCCTTGAGCCTTCCTTTTTGGGTGTTCCCTATACTCCATAGGCAACGTTGACATTTCATCTGATTCACTAGCCTTAGTTCTCCAGCTCAGTCTTCCTGTTCTTTGTTATCATACTTTGTCAATTCTCCTGTCAGTATGTAGAACCACCATATGTTGCAAACATGAAATGCATAACCAAGATAGGTTGTTTATTTCCTATATTCTCAAGTTCAAGGAGATGGCATGTTGTTGAGATCACTGATGATCCAAATAGATAGCAACTTTTAGAAGATGGTCTTTTTGTTGATCATCAGCAACCATCAATCTCACTACACAGTCTACACAGATCCTTCAATCTGGGCTTTATCTCCACTTCCGCACCCATCTCCAGCTATCTAATTAGCAAAGCTCAACTTTTATTACGTTTCCAGCACCCACTCCCCAACAACCCAGAAAAAAAAAAAAAAAAAAAAAAAGATTTTGCGTTCCTTCTTTGTCCATAGCTCTCCTATCTCTCACATTTTTTCTCTTTTCTGCGCCAGAAATCTATCCTCTCTACCATGCTCTGGTTTTCTACATGTTGGATATTGTGATGGTGAGGTGCCATTTGAAATTTTAAGGGAGTGAAGATTGATATCCAGGTGGTGCACAATGCTGGAAAAAAACATGGGATTAGGCTAAAGTTGGATTACATATATTTTAGTTGGCTTCGAGTTTCATTCTATTATTGGGTTTGGGTGGCATGGGTGAAAAGGAAGTAAAGTTCATTCCTTTCCGTACCAAATATCATTTTACATCTGTTCATGGAGCTAACTAAGTCTCCATGAACACAAAAAATCTGCTTTTTCTAGAATTTACAGGAAAGGAAAAGTAAATTTGTCATCAGACAGCTTGGTATTTTCAGATTGTAGAGAGACAGAGAGAGCTTCTCCCAATAACTTGATTTCTTCTGAACTCAGGCTGTGCATTGAATTTGTACTTATTTATTTGACATATTGACCTTGCTTTCGCATATGTTTTTAAGTTCTTCTGACAGCTTGTGTTCTGCTCTTCAGGAACTGACCAAGTTCATAAATTCTTGCAATGAGGCAGCAGTTACTGTCGCCAACAAGGAAGGTGGCCAACTAAGCATAGTCAAACCACAACCAGAGTCATCTATAATGCATGCTTATAATTGTGAGTGTTCTTTAGTGGGTGAGTGCTCAAAATGTTGGCTAATTTGTGTCATGATTATATTTGAATTGAAGGGAAGAGCAAAGATCTTTTGGACTGGGAGGAGAATAGCAACTACTCTGCCTCTTCTATGGAGTCAAAGCTTCTATTTAGCAAAAAAAGTGACTTTGTGCAGCTGCAAACTGCAAAACCAGAAAGCATTTGTATTCCCGATAAGAAACCTGATATATGTGCTGTTCCTGAAAGTAATATTCTTGGAAAAGTGAAGGACTTTTTGGGAGCCATATCAGAAGCGAATAAAAGACTGCAATATGATGCAAAGAACAAGGCTGAAAAATATGATATTGAAGTGCATCATGGTAATGAGTCGGAATACATTGAAATGGATTTAATGTTGGGAGTTGCTGATCTTCATACCCCTGAGGCACTTGTTGCTACTGAGTCTGCTATGGCTGGTTCGCAGCCAACTTTCTCCTTGGCTGCTAGTGTTAGTAGTGATGATGATGATGACCATGATATTAAAAGTAATAAGGAAGTTGGTAGTGATGGCAGCGGTGATGAAGAAAAGATGTTTAATGGTGCTGGTGAAAATTCCTGTAATGATGCATCGAGGATGCAAGCGTCCAATAAATGCCCAAAAATTGTTGAACTCCCATAAATTTCTGTGATGCGTAGATATGTAGGTCATTTCCCTGAGGAGCTTTCGTAGTTAGAGCTAAACGTCAAGCTAGAGCATTAATTGACTCTTCTCTAGTAAGAAGATTCACGGGTCAATAGCATGTTATGTTGTTTGCCTAATCTTGTATCTTGTAGATGTTCAGTGGAATATCATGTTGTGTCATGGATAGTTTCCTGATGCTAAAATCTGTTTCTGGAAATGCATCTCTGTGCTTCTTTTTGTAGTCTTTTTTGTATCAGGTCTTTGGGTGGCAATTCTTATTGATGTTATTTTTATTCATCCAATTGGCATCTTGCTTCTTACCCAATTTCGTCAACGTGTGTGATTTTTGGTAGATCATTAGTATTTAGCCAATGATCGTTGGAGCTGCTTAAGGGTTTTTTTGGTGTATTCAGTTTTAAACTGTTTTTGACTCAGTTCTTTCTGGAAAGGAAGAGCATAGCCTTCCTGCTTGCTTTTCTTTTGCAATTAAACCTGAATCTTTTTTCCCTTCTGTTTATGGCCAAGGTAACACTTTCGGGTGGACATCCATGCAATGTAAAGTGGCTGCACTTTTTGTACCAGAGGCAGAGGCCAGAGGGTGTTTCTCCTGTCAATTGGTCTTGAGTACCGTATATCCATTACCATTTGAATTGAGCCCTGAGAGTCTTTGCTTTGAACCTGTAATACGTTTGACCACAATATGGTTGTCATCCATGATGTTTCCTTACCTCTTTTAGCTACTGCTTTTGGGCATCATGTTTTCTTTGTTTCCGAAGTTGTCTACTGATGCATGCATCGGATTGCTTCTAGGGCAAAGTTGTAAAACAGTTGTTTGATGTAAGCATGTCTCCTTTTTGTTCCCTTTATTTTTTTAAGGGCATAGCTCTTATTTATTATGTTAGAATTGGTAGCAGTTTACGTGATACCCAAGTGTCTTATAGAGAATTTTGTGTGAGGAAATACAAGCTCCATTTGGGCTAATTTCTTAGAATATACCTGAAAAAAAAAAGTGCCCGTCAAATGTAGCTCTGGCATACCCCGTGTACAAAATTATAGCTACCGTTGACAAATACACCTTGATAGCAAAAAGAATAGTCAACTAATGACTATAAAGAGGCATTTGTTAGGAGATAACCTAATATTTTGTATTAGTTTATTTAATTTTGATGTGTTTTGTTTTCCTTGCTTTGTTGGGTTCAAAAAATGAAGCAAAAGTCACTTTTTGAGATTCGGTAAGGAACGAGAAGATTAAAGAATTCAACCCTTCATTTTGCATTTTTATTACGTTTGATCCATTATGAAGAGTTAGAAATCATGTTTAGGTCATTTTAAACATGCGTGAAGTGTTAAATTATGTGAAAAAGTGATCTAATGCATTTTAGGGGAAATGCTCGTGAAAATAGTAAATGCAGAATTTTCTGCACGTGTTGCAGAGAAACACAAAATGTAAGTTGAAACGTAAATCAAGCCCACAAATTTAACCCGTGGATTAATGCAAACTCATGTTTCTAGGCAGATCTGCAAACCAACTAGAATCCACTAGCAGATGGCGCTTGGATAAGCTTTAAGGCTAGATTGAAATGTGGGCCGGATCCATAAGTCAAACCCATGAATCACCGCGAATTGCACGGCCCATGAATTAGGTTTTGGGAAGCATTGATTTGAATATGCGAACCAAATCCCTGGGTTACGCCTCCAATCTAATCTGCATATTTGAGTCATGTAAATTTAAAATAAAACGTGGGCCTCATTCTTTCTTTACTTCTTTTTCTTCTCACTCACATACTAGCACACTCGCACACATACTTCACCCAATATTCGCTTTTGCACGTTTTTTCTTAATAGAAATCGCTATATAAACTCCCTAAACATCATTTAGAACCTTTTCCATATTCATTGTCAAGTCTGTTTGCTTTCAAAAGCTACATAAAGGTCATTGGAAGCCATGTACATTTAGAAAAAAAAATGTTCAGAAGCTTCTTTCCTGAGCATAATAGAATTCAACCAAAAAGAGAGTATCGATGAGGGTGCAAGTTATGAATTTTAGTTCGTTTGAAATCAATAACATGAATAGTTAATAGATGAAGAATATTTGCCCATTAATAAAAGGTGTAAGGCTCAAAGCAATCTAAGAGGAGGGTAAATTAGGTTGATAAAAAATAAAGCAAGGCCAAATTTTAACCAATTCAATCAAAATAGTTTAAGTAAACAAACACTCAACCAAACGCAATAATAAGAAATATAAGCAAATGAAGCGACACAAACAAGTGACAAAAAGAAAACAATAAGGTGAAAGGATTGCAAACTAAACAAATTCTCAACTTCCTCCCAAACTTGAAGTTGAATCAATCAACTTTTTCTTCCAATTGTTGAAACCAAGTTGTGAAAAAGAAGAGTTCACCCCTTGTTCACACTAAATATCCCAACTCTAGTTGAGTCAAGAGATTTTGCAATTCTCTCTAGTTAATTCTCTCGAAACTACAATTGAATGCTCACCCTAACAATGAAAATCACTTACAAGTGAGGTTATCTTCTTCAAGATTTTACTCCGCCTTAATGAGAAACCTTACAAATCCAAGAACTTTCCCCACACCTATACAATATTTAAAGATTTTTCTATCCTAAAATCACTATTAAAAGATTGTATCTCATGTAGGCAAAAGTTTTTCATATTTTAATACATGACAATATTTATAGATAGTGAAAATTTGCTCCAAAAGTCTTTCCAATGGTCAAAAAAATTTGCGATTGAAAAACTAGCCCTTAGAGCTATCAAACGTTTGATCCTGCATCAAACACCTTCTCAGATGTTCGATCCAATTACTCAGCATCCGATATTGCGTTTGAAGGTGTGTTGAGTAAGTCTTTGTTAGAAGTTTCGAACATCCGATACGACATTCAAAAGATGTGTCCGATAGAAACAGAAAATTCCAAAGTTTCCTTTTAATCTATTAGATGTCTGATGGTCCAGCTATGCGTCTGATCCATCATCCGATCATCAGGGTCAACTTTTACTTTATCTTTTGGACATCCAATCCTCTTGGTGTGTGTTCGAAGTTGCATCGGATGTTCAGCAAAAAGCTTTGTTCCTTTTTATTTTGTTTTCTTTCTGTCGCACCCCATTTTTGATAAATAAATAAATGGTTTAAAAATGTATTTTTTGATTCAATTTGTGATTGGAAAATGAATTGTGATTTAAAAGAAAAATGGGTCTAAATGGGGGTTTGAAAATGCGATGATTTGACCCAAAATTATAGTTTAAAAAGGGTTTTTTGAAAAAATGGGAGTCGCCACTTGGTAATGAGTTAAGGTGTACCAAGTCACCTAAAAATGAATTTTTTAGGAAAAAGTTGTAAGAAACCCCTTTTAAACGACTCCTAGTCCACGTAAACCAATGAAAAAGGTTCGAGAGTCACATTTGACGAAGGGGAAGGCAATGATAAAAATCCAAGGCACCCCTTCGACCTAGCCAAGGCTAGTTGCGTTGATTTAATCAAAGATTTTCTTGTTTTAACCAAAGAATTTATTACATTTGGATGTACTACATGAATGCAAACCCTAGACCTAGGGGTATTGGGGAAATTTCTCTTCAAAGGTTGGGTGCCAATCACATTAATTGTGAAGCCCAATAACAATCTTTTGAAGAAGTCACGAATAATGCGAGTGGGATGCAAATGAATGGAATGCATGTATGTAATGTGAGGACATGAGTTTGAAAAAGTAATAAAAGACAATAAATATGTAAATGAAAATGTGCTCGTGAGTGGGCAAGGTACGGTATGTGAAATGATAATATGAAGTGCATGTGTGCAAGTGATGATAAAAGTGTTCGTGTGCAAGTGAAGAAACATAAAGGTGCACGTGTGCAAAATAGGAGGAAAAATGAAAGTGTGATGAGGGTATAAAATGGTGGAGTGGATTTAAAAAATGCATGAGCCTAGGGAATTCATGCATATTGGGTACGGGGAGATCTAAATCGTGACTCAATTTGCCCTTTTTATAAAGGAAATACAAGCGTGCTAAGGCTTAGAAAAAGCCACACTCGTCTATATCCCATATTTAAGGGGACTCTCAAGCAAATGAACCCTATAACTAGCATGAAATGCAAAAATCCTAAAATGGAGGGAAAAGGGGTTTGAGGGGCATGTAAAATGATAAAACTAAAAAGAATGCATGACATGTAATGAACATGCAAACATGTACTAACGAGGGGAAATCCCTAAGGGTCTAGCGTTGGACTATCCCATTCTATGAATTCCGACTAGCGTTGGACTAGCGGAAACGTACATTCATCCATCACATTTATTCAGGCTATGGAAAGCGAGTAGACATGTCAATCACATAGCACATAACACTTAGCATGCATATCTAAATGCCAAAACCTAAGAAAACGATTAAACATATAACACATAGACATGCAAGACACATAAGGTGATTAAGGCCCTAACTATTACATTTGCTAACTAGGCACAAGTCTTCAACAGCTGTTCATCGAATGCTCCTCCAAACCCTATCTATTACAAGCCAAGAGGTGTACACATACCCCATAAAGAATAACTTAAATAAAAAGCAAAAGTAAATGACATAAATAAAAGAAATTAAAGAAAGGCTAGGAAAGCAAAGTAGACATGTAGTTCTCACGTAGCACGTTGGTTCACATAGGAGAGACAAAAAAGATAAAAGAAGTTATACCTCCCTTGAGTTGGAGCTCTAACGTAGTGAAATTACTAATTTACCCTCCAAAATAATAAAAGGGTCAAGGTACCGATTTATTTGTAAAAATTAAAGAAAACATGCAAACACGGGCTTACATGGTCATAAAGCTCTTAAATTCATGCATGAAGTGCAATTTAAACAAAGCATAGTAATTAATTGAAGCAAACAAGCAATAAAGCTGTAAAAATAAAACTACCAAGGACCAAAATGAAGAGATTATTCAATTGGTTGGGTCATAGTGGAACAAGGGGAGACTTGGGGGGTTGGAATGCAATTTTCTGGAAATTATTTCATGCAGCTCATGCAATCCACGTAGAAAGCTTTCTGCAATTTTTCAGCTAACATCTTTGCTGCAGTTTCAAATTCCAAACGCAAGTTTCAATTTGCATGCTCAATTTTGATCTAAACTTTACCCTCCAAACATCAAAGCTCTAACCCAGCAACCGAATATGGAACTTTAACATCTAAACAATCAAAACATAGAAAGAAACTCATGGATTCTGCAAACTCACGGCTATGCAGTCTCATTCAATCTCTTACCTATTTGACCGAATCTATATTCATGCAAATAACCCAAGTATATCTCTACTCAAATCAAAATGCAGAGATTTGAAGCAAAGGTAGGAGTAGGATCAAACAGGTTTTTGAACTCAAAAATGCAACAAAAATGATCTGGACAAAATGCTAACTTTGAGGAAACAAGATTTTCTGCAATTTTTCCCAGCCGAGGCCCTTTTCTCTATCGTGCAAGCCAGATTTTTAATTCAAATACAAAGCTTTGATTAGATATTTCTCAACCCAATATCATAACTCTAACTAAGCAACAAGCTACTTAACTTTAAACTCCAAACAAGCAAGAACAATAAAGGAACTGATGCATCACAGAAATTCTGGACAAGACATTCATGTAGAATGGTTTAACAATCTGAAATTCATTTTCCAGCAAAGTATTCGGCCATAGCTCATGCATTTCAGACTTCCAAACTAACGAAAATCATGCAACTTATGCCTTTTATTTTTTTAACCAAGGACTAAATACACACAAGAACAGGCAACAGCAAAAGGCAGCAAACCCACGAAGCTTTGATGTGCTCCTGAGTTCATTCTCAGCAAGCATCGCACGAATTAAGCAAGCAAAGCAACTAACCATATCATGAACTCCAACCAAACTTGCTAATGATGTACCAAGATAGACTTCCTATGTTTTCTTGCCTAAAACCCAAGTTAAAACAGAACCCAACTCTAGATCTACACATGCCAAAAAGTCAGAACAAAGAGCGTGCAAAGCTGGAAACTTTCTGCAACTATCCGACATGTGGCTTCAGATGCAGAAACGAATGAATCAGCCAAGGAAAAGTTATTTCCTTCTCAAAGTTAAAATCTTTACTACTAAACTACAGTCCGTAGCCTATTCCAGTTAACACCCAACCCAGCAGCAATATTGTGCAAACACGAAAAAACAGCGACCCAGGAACTGATACATGTTCATCGCAGGATTTCAAGACATGTTCATTATACCAGTAGCCAAATTTTTCTACGTTTTTGTGTGTCCATTCTGATGATGTATGAGCAACTAAGGATACAAAAGATTACCTTTAACTTCTGGTGGAAACAGGAACACAGAGCGGATGAAAAGATTGCTTCCGTTGTAGAGGTTCGAAGCTGCAAATTCTCGCCGACGAAGATTCAAAACTAGTGACGGGCAGACTTAGAGCTGAACTTTGAAGGTCTTGTGGCCGTTTTTATGGAAGCTACTCAACACCAAAGTTGTCCTTTAATGATCAGAGAAGATGCAGAAAGCAAGAGGTTCCCCAGAAGAGATCTCTCCGATGGAGAAAAGCGCACTGCAAGGTGACGGAAATCCAGCCTTGTTCCAAAGGTTTGTGCAGAAAATTTTGTTTTCCTTCGTCTCTTTCCCCAGATTTTCTTTACTCTTCTCGCTTATTCCTCACTTGGTTCTTCTTTCTTTCCTCAAACCCTCAGCCCGTAGTTACCTCTCTATCTCTGATCTTTCTTTGCTTTGTTTTCTCCCGATTTTCAGCCGCAAACCCTCACTCTCCCTTCGTAGCTCTCTGCCCAATTTTCAGCCGTCAATCTTTTATCCCCTCTGTATGTTTTTCTCTCCTCCTGCGGCTGCTGCTTTTTTTTCTTTTTATATCAATTCCCCAACCTCCTAAACCCTGCTCTCAATGGCCAGCAATCAACCTCCTCTCAGCCTCTTATCTTGGCCATCCGATGGGCATGTACCACTCTTCTTTGCAAGCTGCCAAAATACGCAGCTTGCATGCTTCCCTTTTTTTTTTTTAAGTATAATATAAATAACAATAAAAACAAAATAATAATTCAAACAAACTTAAACTTAAATAAAATGTATAAAATTAATAACCAAAAGATAAAAAGCTAAGATTTTCCTCTTTTTCCTTTCTTCTTTTTCCTTTTTTTTCATTTTTCAATTTTTCATCATTTTTTCATTTTTAAATAATGAAACTAAATCTGAAACAACTACAACATATTTTTTGAACGCTTTTCCTTTTTTTTTACTTTTTTTGATTTTTCTTTTTTTTTTTTGATTTTTTCTCTTCTTTTTTTTCATTCATTTTTCCTTTTTCTCTCTTTCTTTTTTTTTTCAAGAAATTCTATGCTAAAAACTTAAAAATAAACTAAAAACTATAAACTAAAAACTAAAAATCGAATAAAACTAACACGACAAATAAAAAACTAAAAATAAACAGTAAATGAAATTACACCAAAAATTTGGTGTCTACACTTTCCTTTGCCAATTATTTGAACATCTATACTAATGAAAAGCTCGCTTGAAATATTAGTACAAATCATCATTTTATTTCGTTAATCATTAAAACTAAGCATTAATCAACCTAAATCTTTCAATCTCCCCATTTTGATGATGACAAATAAATGAGAATTTCTTTGATGAAATAAATTCAAATAGACTTCTCCTCAACATAAGCCAACATTTGAAGAAATATAATTCAATCTACTTCCCTTTTTGTTATCATCGAAAATAAAGCAAGTAAACGTGAAGCGAAGTTGCATATGGATAATTGCAAGTAAAACTCCCCTAACATCAAAGCCATATCAATTTTCATCATCATTCTCTACAAATATCTCCCCCTTAAAATAACCATATAAATCAAGTAAATACAAAGGGATGAATTATATTCAAAGAGTTACTTCCTTTTAAAGGCATATTAACAAATACACACAAAGAAATCACGTAAAGCATTATTTTCAAAATAATTTTTATTCATCTTTACTACAGCACCTTCTATTTTGAAAATTGTGTTAATAGGCACCTAAGGTTACATAAATGCATCGACAAAATAAGAGTTGATCAACATTCAAGTATGTGTGATGCAACAACCTAATTTATTATGAGGATAAGAACATTTCATCTTTTTGATCGTGAATGAAGATATAAAGAATACTAAATGGGTACCTAATTCATTTTCTTTTGTGATGTCAAAATGGAAGATATAGCATTTAAGTATAAAGTTAACAAATAACATCACAATTATATCACTTGCACGAAATAATATGCTAGATTTAATTAAGTTAGAGTAGAATGTTCTTACATTTAAATTAGGAGATATATTATACCTAGTGGTTAAACTATATTAAACTTAGATAACTAGTATAATCTGCATGTAAACTCATAGTAAGTAGACATAAATAATTTTCTACCACATATTGCTTTTATTTTAGCCCCCCTTTCTTTTGCAAGTCATGAACTTATTTAAGAAAAATTTGGGAGTTACTATTAATCAAGCATTTATATGTCCAAATTTATCATTTTAAAAAACTTATTCACACATAGGACATATATGAATAGAATTTCAAAATAATTAAATATTTCAAATCCATGTTTCCATTCTCACGAGAGTACAAACTAGGATACACATCAATCAAATATTTAAATATAACCCATTTTCCTCATATACAATTTAAGGTAAGAAAGTTAAGTTTTAAACGCATACCTCAAAAATAATCCATCAACTTGTAATGGTTATCATTCTCATTGTCTAAGGTAAATGCATTCTTTATCTTTATCTTTTGTTCTTTACCTATTCCATGTTACAAAATTGAATTTGGTAGATGAGAACTCCATGTCTTTCTTTTTTTTCAAACCGCCAAGCTATTTGGATGATCACTTTTTAAGCATGACTTGATGATATATTGTCTTGACTTGAGGAAATATGTATACTTGAAAATCACTCTCAAACTATACTATTCTTAAATTACAAAATTTGTATAAGTATGCACTAGTAGTACAAGAAAACATATATTCATCACCTTGTACAAGTAGAGGAAGAATAATAAATCATATAAATATTTCCTTGTACAATTTGTTTATGACTACTAATATACAACATTAATTAGCATGCGTTAATCGGCAAATGCAAATATGTACTCTAATCAAGCAATTGCCAATCATTAATATCATCTCAAACTAGGGGCAAAAGCATAATTCTGACAGCAATCCTTGCTCTTATCGATTGTTCCCAAAGTTAAAAAATAGCTAAGCCACGTCTATGAATTTACTGAAGTAACCCAAAACAAGGTGTCGAAAGTGGATGAATAGTGCCAAGCAAATTGCTGTTTAATATAGTATACGAAAATTTTACAATTTTATCTATGTTTTGATCTTATAATTTCTCAAACTTGCAATTCCAATTTCGAATATCCTAAACCAATCTACTTCTTTTGTTAAGATAACTAGATGCAGTACGTTAACATCTACCATCACAGCCATAAACTTGCATGGACAAGTTCCAAATTCGTATTCCCATACATGGACAAACTTGTTTGGAAAATATTCTACAACTAACTAGGTATGTGTAAATAACCCATACATGGTTTGAGGATTCTAATAAGAACCTCCATATGTTTTAAAATTCTACCAATTCGCCTTTTGTAATTTTGGAAAAAAATAAGTCAATATCAAACTAACAAAATAGTTATGGCTATCTATTATGTAGCTCAAATTAGTGCCATGAAAAGTTACACGAACTACAAGAATAAAGAGAAAAACTTTTTCAGTAATTTGCTATTAATAGCCCCCAAAATACTTGCATAATGCTGATTTGGTTCGTGTGAAAAAGTGAAAATTAGAGGTAAAGAATATATCAAATAATTCTGTAAGATCAAAGATCAACATTGTTGTTGCTAATTCACTATAGTTCCCACAAAATTGCATAATGTTAATTTGGTTCATATCATAAGATGAAAATGGTTCTGTTAAGTTTCTTTATTCGTTTTAGTAAATTATCTAATAACTTTTCACTCATTTTACATTTTTAGTCCAAAACTGAAAGGGTTAAAAAAATGGACTTTTAAACTATATGGGAGCTAGACGTAACTCACCGAGACAACAGGGGGGTTACTAAAATTCAGAATATAAAATAATGAATTTTTTTCCGATTTTCTTGCCGACATGAACATATAAACCCCCAAGCTTCAAAAACCCTAACATTTCAATTTAAACCATAATCGCTACCCAGAACACAGCAATTGAGAGATTATTCAACAATTCTAAAAGAAGAATGACCCAAAAGAGCTATCTTTTCAAATGCCAACGAAAGAAGAAATCAATTCGTCCCAATCGCCATGGCAATGCCCCTCAAACTAGTAGGTGCAAATTTTATTTTATAATTTTTCATATTTTTGTTGAACAAAAACCATATTCTATTCATTTGTGAGGTGGGTTTTGATTGAAATTTGAATTTGAATTTAGGGAAGAGAGTTGTGAAGCCCTCAAAGGTCACAAAGGATATGGATACCGGTCGGGTAAGCTTATTTATTCTCGTAGTACGTTTCTTTATCTGCTTAATTGTACTTCAAAAACGAATACTCTTGTTTTTCAAGTGTTCACTATATATTTTAATGCTTTTGTCTTTCTTTGATTTTTCTGCTTCCAGAAGAAAAATTGTAGAAACATGCAATTTCTCGATAATTGGAGGAGTTGTTCTGTTTTTCTAATATTGCAATAACCACCTAATCGAGATTTCTTCAATGTGAGAACAGTTTGGTGTGCTATTTCGTGAAAAAGAACATTGGTTTTGCCTTCAGTTGGAGCTTTGTAATTATCTTAACTCGGAATCAAAGCGTCAGCTGAAAACGACCTCAGAATTTAAGTTTCTGGCGCATGTTGGAGGAGATTGAGCCCTTTAATTTGTCCTCTCGAAGCACTTACTGCATGTGGATTATAACCTTTAATTTGATTTCTGTCTTAGTTTTGTGTGTCCCAATAATCTTGTTCCCATGAAAGATTGAGGGAATAATAATAAGTTGATAGTGTTTCTGTTTACATGTTCGAACTCTAAACTGGCTTCAATTCCTTTTCTCCCATTTTGTGTGTGTTTGTGAGAATGTGTTCTTGTCTTGTAAATTTGGGTGGAAAAGATATGTTCTGGGAGCCATGTTCATGTATTTCGTTCCTGAATTTTGTATTTATTCTTTGATATTTTTGTGTTTCTAGTTTTTTCTTATAGTGCAGCCAGTTTTTGATGTACAAAAGTAAAAGGAGAAGAAGAAACCAGAAAGAAACATTCCATCAATAAATTGGCAGATTAAAAGTTGCAAATTTAGATCGGGTAATGCCGAATAGAAGATGATAGAGCACTGTTTCTGGAAAAAACACAGCGGAGAGGAACTTACAGTAGTGTATGGTTAACTGCTGATATCGTTCTGATGGTGGGCTGGAAACTTGATGTTCTTGTTTCGTCATCGATATTAAAGAATTGGATGAGGTGAATGGGGAAAGTGGTTGCATATGGTCCCAATGAATTTTTTTTAACCTTTTGGGGTTAGAATAAACTCAATTAGTTAGATTCTTTAAAAACAATAACCTGGCCAAGCTTTTCAAATCATAGGCAGGTTTGGATAACTAAATGGATTTGGACTGAGATTGTCAGCTATGCCTCCAACTCAAAACCAAAATGGAAGATTTTTGTGGACATAAAATTGTAGGTCCTTCTATGTCTTGGCGAATATGTGCTATGGGTTCATTAACTCTTTTGTTAGTGTTAAACAGGTGTTATGGCAGAAATGCTTTTTTGATGTAGCGCATAAATTGAGATATTTACATCTGTGCTTGCCTGTGCACAGAAAATTGTGGATACATGTGCATGTGAAGGGAAGGAAGCTGTAGTATGGTTGTTAAGTGTACTCTTTTACTCCTGAAACAATACTGCACGTGAGCATGTAAATTTGGTGGGCAGTTTAGGTTAAGGCGCTTTTATAGTTAGGCAGTCTTGGAAAGCTCCTAATCTAATTTCATTAGGGAAACTTGAGGGAATTGTGTAGTGTATAAATGTGCCAATCTGAGAGTAAACTATGGATTGTCCCAGGTTTAGAGTAGAGCATCAAGGATCACTAAATGATGAATATTTGACCAATGATTGGACAATATCATAGTGCAATCGTCAAACAAGGTTCACGTAGCTGTCACTGTATTTTCAATGTAATGCAGCTCCTGACAATGCTTACCGGCAGGTTTGGATCTCTTTTCACAAACAGCAAGTGGATGCATGGATACCACTTTGGTAACAAGGTTTATCAATAGAATTTTACAGCTTTCACCATGTTTTCTGTTTACTTTCTCCAGCCTTGAGCCCTCCTTTTTGGGTGTTCCCTATACTCCATAGGCAACATTGACATTTCTTTCTGATTCACTAGCCTTAGTTCTCCAGCTCAGTCTTCCTTTCTTTGTTATCATACTTTGTCAATTCTTCTGTCAGCATGTACAATTGAACCACCATATGTTGCAAATAGGAAATGCATAACCAGGATAGGCTGTTTATTTCCTATATTCTCAAGTTCAAGGAGGTAGCATGTTGTTGAGATCACTGATGATCCAAATAGATAGCCAACTTTTAGAAGATGGTCTTTTTGTTGATCATCAGCAACCATCAATCTCACTGCACAGATCCTTCGGTCTGAGCTTCATCTCCACTTCCACATCCATCTCCAGTTATCTAATTAGCAAAGCTCAACTTTTATTACGTTTCCACCCCGCTGCCCGCCCTTCCCCACCAATCCAGGGAAAAAAAAAAAGAATTTGCTTCCCTTCTTTGTCCATAGCTCTCCTACCTTACTTTTTTTCTCTTTTCTGCACCAGTAATCTATCCTCTCTCCCATGCTCTGGTTTTCTACATGTTGGACATTATGATGGTGAGGGTGCCATTTAAAATTTTAAGGGAGTGGAGATTGATATGCAGGTGGTGCTCAATGCTGGAAAAAAAACATGGGATTTGGCTAAAGTTGGATTACATAGAGTTAGTTGGGTTTAGAGCTTCATTCTATTATTTGGTTTGGGTGGCATGGGTGAAAAGGAAGTGAAGTTCATTCCTTTCCCTACCAAATATCATATTATATCTGTTCATGGAGCTAACTAGTCTCCATGAACACAAAAGATCTGCTATTTCTAGAATTTGCTGGAAAGGAAAAGTAAATTTGTCATCAGACAGCCTGTTATTTTGAGATTGTAGAGAGACAGAGAGAGCTTCTCCCAATAACTTGCTTTCTTCTGAACTGAGGCTGTGCATTGAATTTGTGCTTATTTATTTGACATATTGACCTTGCTTTTTCATATGTTTTTGAGTTCTTCTGACAGCTTGTGTTCTGCTCTTCAGGAACCGACCAAGTTCATAAATTATTGCAATGAGGCAGCAGCTACTGTCGCCAACAAGGATGGTGGCCAACTAAACATAGTCAAACCACAACCAGAGTCATCTATAATGCATGCTTATAATTGTGAGTGTTCTTTAGTGGGTGATGCTCATACTTAGAGTGTATATGCACTGAAATGTTGGCTAATATGTGGCATGATTATATTTGAATTGAAGCAAAAAGCAAAGATCTTTTGGACTGGGAGGAGAACGGCAACTACTCTGCCTCTTCTATAGAGTCAAAGCTTCTATTTTGCAAAAAAGATGATTTTGTGCAAACTGCAAAACCAGAAGGCGTTTGTATTCCTGATAAGAAACCCGATATATGCACTGTTCCTGAAAGTAATATTCTTGGAAAAGTGAAGGACTTTTTGGGAGTCATATCAGAAGCGAATAAAAGACTGCAATATGATGCAAAGAACAACGCTGAAAAATATGATCTTGAAGTGCTTCATGGTAATGAGTCAGAATATATTGAAATGGATTTAATGTTGGGAGTTGCTGATCTTCATACTGCTGAGGCTGTTGCTGCTGCTGAGTCTGCAATGGCTGGTTCCCAGCCAACCTTCTCCTTGGCTGCTAGTGTTAGTAGTGATGATGACGATGACCATGATATTAAAAGTAATGAGGAAGTTGGTAGTGATAGTAGCAATGATGAAGAAAAGATGTTCAATGGTGCTGGTGAAAATTCCTGTAGTGATGTGTCCAGGATGCAAGCATCCAATAAACGCCCAAAAATTGTTGAACTCTCGTAAATTTCTGTGATGCGTGGATATGTAGGTCATTTCCCTGAGGAGCTTTTGCAGTTAGTGCCAAACATAAAGCTAGAGCATTAATTGACTCTCGTAAGAAGATTCACGGGTCAATAGCATGTTATGTTGTTTGCTTAATCTTGTATCTTGTAGATGTTCAGTGGAATATCATGTTGTGTCATGGATAGTTTCCTGATGCTAAAATCCGTTTCTGGAAATGCATCTTTGTGCTTCTTTTTGTAGTCTTTTTTGTATCAGGCCTTTGGGTGGGAATGCTTATTGATGTTATTTTGCTTCTTACCCAATATCTTCAACGTGTGTGATTTTTGGTAGATCATTAGTATTTAGCCAATGATCGTTTGAGCTGCTTAAGGTTTTTTTTTGGTGTATTCATTTTTAAACTGTCTTTGATTCATATACTTCTGGAAAAGAAGAGCATAGTCTTCCTGCTTGGTTTTCTTTTGCAAATAAACCTGGATCGTTTCCCCCTTCTGTTTATGGCCAAGGTCACACTTTCGAGTGGACATCCATGCAATTGGTCTTGAGTACTGTATATCCATTACCATTTTAATTGAGCCCAGAGAATCTTTGCTTTGAACCTGTAATACGTTTGACCACAATATGGCTGTCATCCATGATGTTTCATTACCTCTTTAGCTGCTGCTTTCATATTTTCTTTGTTTCCGAAGTTGTTTCTACTGGTCCATGCATCGGATTGCTTCTAGGGTAAAGTTGTAAAACAGTTGTGTGATGTAAGCACGTCTCCACTTTGTTCCCTTTATTTCTGCATAGCTCTTATTTATTATATTAGAATTGGACCATTGCTTCTAGGGTACAGTTGTAAAACAGTTGTGTGATGTAAGCACATCTCCTCTTTGTTCCCTTTATTTTTCTTTAAGGGCATAGCTCTTATTTATTATATTAGAATAAGGCCTTTAAGTACACAAACTATTGGGTGAATTCTTTTGTCTTTTCTTCATAAAACCTGTGTACATTTTACGGCGAATTTTCATAAATAATGCTGAAATAAGAAAAATGAGAAATGTGGTGTTTTGGACAAATTAGTTTTGTAGTAAAGGTTGCCATAAATGAGAAGCAGCGTGTAAGGACCTGTAAAAATTTTCTTATTTTATATTATTTATTTTAATTCTTCGCATGCATTTTCTTTACTTTATTCTATTATATTAATTTTCTAGGTATTTTTACAAGTGAGTATAGTTTTTAGATCATTTTTCCAGTATAAGTTAGTTCATGTGACATTAGTAGTGTATATTGGACGTGGGACCCGTTAGTGAGATAAGTGTGATAAAATTTTAGTGACTAGGTGAATTTTGTGTAAAGGGATATTATTTTTCAAGATATTAGGAGATAATTAAAGGTTAGTTAGATAGATTAACCATTGGTAGACAAAAGGATGAGGTTAAACCCTAGGACGCCACTTGTCGCGAAGCTAATGAATGTTGGACTTTGACCAAGCTTATTTAACTTTTTTAAACTCCAATTTTGACCAAAATTTCTTTCACTTTCTTGTCTTCCTTGGCCGAATTTCTTGAGGAGAAAAACAAGGAGAGAAACTTCATTTTCTACCTCATTTGCTAGCTTGAATCTTGAGGTTTAACCAACCAAATGGCAAACCACTCCATACAAGCAGTCACTAAGGAGGATTAAAGGGGTTGGTGGAGTGATTTTGGAAGAAGAAACCCTAAGCTACGATCTTTCTTGAGGTTACTAGGTAACTTTTCTAAGACATCCCTTTTTACTTCTAATACTAGCATACTTGTGATTTGGAGTTGCAAAATATGTAGTTTTATGAGATATATGATGACTTGAGGTGGTGATGTGGGAAATTTCAGTTTTATGGTTAATTTTCTGCTCTTATTTGATGCTTGAGCATTTGCCTTGGATTGATAGCTTTGTTATGTGTAATATTGAGCTTTTATATGCTAGTTTTACTTGCCTACGAAGAATTTCAGTTTGTGTGTATCAATTTCAGATAGGGTTTATATTTGGGAATGAATCTGCCCTGTTACTGACCTGTATGTTCGTCCATGTTAGAGGCCGAATCAGGCCTAGGTAAAACATAAAAATTATAGGGAATGGAGTTAACTAGCTGCCTGCAGAATTTCAGCTTAATCGGAGTACTGTAGCATGTGAAATGACTAAAATGCCCCTGATTGCCAAATGCACTGTTTCGCAGACAGTTTTCTATTTTCTCTAAGATTTTGATTTTTTGCCTTGAAAATGCAAGAACTGGGTATCGATGTCTTCATAGGAAATGTAGACCTATGTTTTAGCTTCGAAACGCCATAAGATTCATCTCAATCCGATAAGTGTAGTTTCAGTTGTGATTAAAATGCCAAAAGGTAAGAGGAACTTGATGATTTTAGAATTTCCTTTGCTTGACATGATAATTGTGATCTAGGGATTGGATTTGAGCAAGGAAACTATCTATGATGAATGAGCAGCTTGATTGTGGTTGGTTTTTGAAAATTTTATTTGGTGAGATATGAAGGGCTTTGCGGTTGTTCGTGTTTTAGAACTAACCGTTACTTTTTCCACCCCGAAGCCACACTTTTGTGCCTTTGCATTCGTAATTCATTCGGATAGGCTTATGACTCATAGTCGAGCCTCAATTGTGCATTCCGTTTACTGGGTTTGTGGATGTGGGAACCATTATTGTTTATCTTGGTTATTTTAGGATTTCTCGGTGATCAAAACCCTACCTTGGATGAAAACTTTTGAAGTTATCTTTACTTGAACTGGTGAGTGTACTACTCCCTTGATTTGTTGCTTAACTGGTTTATTTGTACTTGAAATCTGTGACTTCAATGACTGTGAACTCTGTTTGTTCTGAATGAGACAAGAGTGTATTTTATCACGCTCGTTCTCTTGCCTGTGTGACTGTTCACTGTATAAACTGGAATCTGTTACTGTGCCTGATCTGATGTCGTTTGGAGGTGTTTCCAACGACCTTCCTGTTAAACCTGAGTTCAACCTCATCGGGAGTCAATTAAATCGAGCCAGCAATGGCTTGGTCGAAGAAAATTGACAAAACCATGGGGACTGTTCCTAGGGAATCTTTGGGTATTAAAGACTCTGGATTTCCGGTATACTCGAGTATTACCACCCACTGTTACTGTTGAGGCGTTCGGGTCCGGCAAGGGGTATGTTTGGTGGACGGAATTCGGCATAAAGTGGTGCTCTACTGGACTGGTTACTATACTTGAAAGTTGACGGAGTATCAACTACTACTTGATCAAGTTCTACTGAAGAAAAGGGAATTTGGCTCTTAAGAGCCACCTGTATCCTTTCTATATGAAGTGTTTATTCATTTCTTTAGTTAGTGAGTATATTTGCCTAATTAAAAGTGAAGTTCCATGATTCTTGACTGCTTGTCCTTGTGGTACCTCATTAAGCGTAAACTCACTCCTTCCCATTACCTTTGTTTTCCTTACAGGGTTCAAAATTTTGGAAACCGTGATTTTGAAGAAAAGAGTAGAGCTAGTTGTAAACCTTCTTTTGATTAAGCTCCTCTGTATTGGCAAACCCTAACAGTACCTTGATCATTTGTGGATATTCCGACTTGTATTGCTAGTTGAACTTTTGGGACCTTCCAATGTATATATATCTAAGTGTTTAATCAAGTGTTTCGATAGTGTTCGTTTGAGATTGTACATTTATATGATTATGTGAACTTTTCTTGTATCCGTTGGAATCGGGCGAGTTTGGAACTTGAACGAGGATGGAAAACTTTTGGTGGGAAATTCCTGCAGAGATTCCGGCTGTATATCCGGCCAAAAACTGGTCGAATATGTGGCCAAATTGGCAAGGCTTTTGGAAAAAATTTTGGGTTGGCTATTGCCGGCAATCCGGCCGGATATCCGGCTTAATCTTGGTCGGATTGTGACGCGGCCGCGTTTCGTTCCGTTTTTCGTTTTCGTTTTCGTTGAAGTATTTAGTTAAAGTTCCATTTCACCGTATGGTTTGGTAATCATGTTTTCGGCTTAGTAATCTCCGATTGTTGGTTTCTTGGGGTTCTATCGCACGTTACGTAGGGTTTATGAGTGTTTTGACTCCATAGTCCTAGTGAGAGTTGGACAGGCAGTCTGCCGAATCCTCTGGTTTGCCTTAGGGAAAGATGGGGCTGTCAAACAGCATTGAGCAAAATTGAATTTATTTTAAGTTTTTTTTAAGTCGCACAGCAACTTAAATGAATAATAATTTTTTTAAAAAAATTTTTGCCAGTCGCTAGCTGCTTCTAGTATTGGATGCGGCTGAATTTGTGCACCATTGATCATAAGTTGGTCAATGGTGCGAATTTTTTTTTAAAAAAAATTGAATGCGGCGACTACTTAGCTGTATCCACTTTTGGATGTGACGTAGTTTTAGTACCGTTGATCAATAGTTGATTAACGCTGCAAAGAACTTTTTTTTTTAAATGCAGACGCTACATGCGACGTCTAGTATAGCCACATCCATTAACAGATGAGGTGAAACTCTATAGGCTATTGATCAATTATGATCAACGACACATAAACTCCAGCGACAGTTTTGATTCTTTCTTTTTTAGCCGTTGATTAATTCTGGATGAACAATTGCATTGTGTCCATACAATCAATGTTCAATGCGTTTGGCTATAAATATATCACCAAATTTGTCAATTTGACTCACACAACCCCCTTTGTATCCTTCCATTCATCGCCTCCCCAATTTCGTCCTTTAATTATAAAGAAAATCTCAAAGAACTCCTACCTGGATTGTGTTTCCACCATTTTCATCCAGTTAATTCGTGTACATTGTCACTCATTGGTGTGCGCCGATTTCTTTTATCGGTCATAAAAAGCAAGTGAACTTCTAGGATCTAAAGTTGGTGGTGCTCAGTCAGAATCTTCGGCAATACTTGGTTCAACAGGTACTGCAGACCAACCTCATGTGTCATGTGAATATGACTTGATTTATTATATTTAATTAGTATTAGTTTACTGGTTGATTATGGTGATTTAAATGATTACTATTACATCAGTAGTTTATTACCTTTAATTAGTGTTAATTTATTATATTTGATTAGTATTTAAATTAGTTTAATTAGTAATAGTTTATTAATTAATAGTGTTATTAGCATTAATTATATTACATCTTCCTGTTGATGGATTAATTGAATGTCAAACCAGAAATAGTAACAATAAGCAATAGTACAAGTACAATTTAGTAAATAGTATTAAAAATAAAAAATAGTAATAGTAAATAGTAACAGTAAAAAAAAGTAACAATAATGATAATAGTAATAGTGTTATTAGTATTAATTATATTACATCTTTTTTGCCACTTGATTGCATTTTGCACTTCACGTTCACTTGAAATCAACT